AGTATGCCTCTTGAGTTGGACCAGTTTGACAAAACGCACGGGATAGCCCGTGACTGGGTTTTCTTTTCCTAGTACATACTGGAAACACTTTTGTGAGATCTTGTGGTTGGTAGCGAGTGCTAGAGTCCTTGTAACCATGCACATGCCCCTCATAGATCAAGGAGAAAATCATTCAAGGTAGATTGCCTAGCCAAAAGCAGATGTGCATGGAATAAAGATTTCACTGTTTATTGGTGGCACTTCAAAGCGATGTCGCTGGGTACTGGCACAGCAATGACGGCCACAGTCTACACTAATCAACATGGAAACATGGATGACGTCACGCTTGAATTCATTCAGAAAACTCACTTTCTTTCTACTACTCGGCAATGCGAAGACCGCATGTGGGATCAGGCTACGCCAAAAGATCATGGATCTCGATCAGAGAATGCGACCGTACCCAGCTTATTTAACAAAGTTAGCAGCCTCTAATTACCACCTCCTTTGGTCCCTACCGCATCCTTTAGAAGGCAAAAATTCCGAAAATCGACGTCTACTCGAAAATGAGGTCCACCTCTTCTTCTTATCATAGTTGCCGTAGTTCTATAAGAATGGAAATGAGAAGCTGTGCAAAAGAAGGGCACTAGTCCTAGTCCTTAGTGGTGATTACCTTGTAGATTGGAGATGTCTCTTGGTGAAGGAAAATTTGATCAGAGTGTCGCAAGACTTTCTTTCTAGCCTAGTTGGTTCGATCTAGGGCTGTACGGCCGTGCTGTTAACTATCGTTCGAGGTAGTGGTTGCGGACGAAAAACTGCCGGTCTTTCTGTTACAACGGCCGAGCTTTGCGGAGGACGGGGCTGCGATGGATTTATCGATCAGATAGCTCAGAGGACAGGAAGAAATGAGGGACCTGCAGTTCGTTTTGCTACCATGGCTATAGAACGAGAGCGCCCATTTATCGTAGAAACAGCCTATTAAAATCGTTGGGAAATTGCATATAGCGCAATATATTGGGCATGAACAGCCCAGCATCTGGTAGCTCAGAGAAGAGTAGGTGAACAGGTGAAGGGTATGAGGGATATTATCATGAACCTGTCCCCATCATCCAGGTATACTGCACAGATCTTGCCCCATCTAGCTGAATCATCGCAGCTATCGAGCGGAGAGGAGCACATGTGAAACGAGCTCCCCTCCCTCTCCCAAGAACGAGCGAATACGACACCCCCTCCTACAACGTAAGTGGCGTAAGTGAAACAAGGCGACGTAACCCAACTATGAAAAAATTTTCTCAGACCAAATGCGACCCCCCCCTCCCTGTTGGGGAATCCCAAACGATGACATGAAACAAACGATGACATGAAACAAAACAAACATGTGCGTTGCAGTGCTCCCAATAAAAGAACATTTCCCTTCTGATGCGCTATCTATTTTTGCCCCCCCCCATTAGTTGGGAATGTTTCCAGTTTGCACTGTGATAATGGTATGATATAGGTAGCAGTAAAGCTGATCAAGAAGAGCGCCATCGAGAACAAGGCCGATCTGGTTCGAATACGTCGTGAGATCCGGATTATGTCCGCTCTTCACCATCCAAACATCATACAAATATTTGAGGGTGAGTCCGACTCCAACTGTGATACCATTGGCTAATGAATCCTTTTTTTAAGTGTTCGAGAATCGAGAAAAGATCATTTTGGTTATGGAATACGCAAGTGGTGGCGAACTTTACGACTATGTTTCCCGTTTTGGGTCGTTGCCAGAAAGTGAAGCCAGACGCATTTTTAGACAAATTACCTCAGCCGTACTGTACTGTCATAAGGTAGGTTACTTCTGGTGCTCACATACGACTTTTCTTGTGGTAATGGCAACTGGATGATTGATTTTTCTGAATTTTAACAACATTCTGTTGCTAGAAAAAACTAACACACTTTTTGTGGTCCGCAGAGCCGTTGTTTGGTTTTTTCGTAAGATTGAAATGAGTTATTCTTAGCAAGATTCGAAAAAAAGCTTGTTCCAGCATCAAGTGGCTCATAGGGATCTAAAACTGGAAAATATCCTGCTCGACCAGGATAACAACGCGAAGATCGCTGATTTCGGTCTCTCTAACTACTTTGGAACAAAGGTTCGTGCTTTATCGTTCCCTAAGCCTGAGCAGATTTTTTTTCTATGGTTGGAACTTCTGTGTGTGCAAAACGCCTTTCACGGAAAACTACTGTCAGATTCGTAGCCCGTCATTTGAGTTCTACCTCTCCGAATACGAGCGAAAAATGTAGGGAAAATGAGAGAAAAGCCAAGGAAAATTATGGTTGTTAGCCTCGAAGGTGCAATTAGAGGTATCCTCGTGAAAAGCTATAATGAGTAGTAGAGATGAGGAGCTTGCCGAAGCCTAGAGGGGCGAAGCCAGGTTGGGTCAGTCAGTGTCGAGTTCGGTACATCAGCTTGGGTCAAATTAATCACAGTTTTTACACGAAGGACCCTTCAAAAGCATAGGTATAATTTGGTACTTCGTCTGAAATGGTGGCAGGTATTATAAGTGGCAAAATGACGGAAAAACGATCAGTGAGAAACCTGCCAATAAAGCATTTCTTCTACAAAACTCAGGAACCACGTTCGGCGAGTTTCGCATTGGCATCGTCCCAGTAAGCGTTACGGTAGATACAGCGCATACGTAAACTCCTTATCCCTGAGACGGAGTAGGCGTGGCATTTGAAAATGGCCTAGAAGAGGTTACTCGTAGGATATTTCCCTTTGAGACAACTGTCATCTTGTTCTGTGTTGGGCAGAGACATGACCACAATTGTGTCAAAATGAAAATATCTCACCAAAAGCACAACCACCGCCACGTTCAGCTGAAGTACGCAGCCACGCCTACCGCATCTCAGGGATTTCATATCAATCCCTTTGATTCATACTATACATCGTAAATGAAGCGATAGAAGCATCAGCATCGGTCGGACATTTGCGGACGGGCGGGCGCAGTGAGCGTCCGGGTCGGTGTTTTGTAGCTTGATAGGGCGCTAGTACAGGCGCTAGTACCTTCTTAGGAAAACGTGCCGCGCAGGGCCTGCTCAGGGGCGCCGAATTCTATCCTGCTAGGCGCATTAATCCTGCACGTCTTGGGAATTTATCGTGTCACTTGCTTTTGAACCGCTTAAGTAGCCATTTTTATTTTTTCTTTGTTGTTCCTTTCATAAGCGAATGCATTCTAGTCCCTTCTTACAACTTTCTGTGGCAGTCCACTGTACGCTTCTCCAGAGATCATCAATGGCACCCCTTATAAAGGCCCTGAGGTAAGCATTCTCATTACATACGTCACACTTTGTCACTCTCAATACTTGCTATTTGAGGTCGATTGTTGGTCGCTGGGTATTCTTCTCTACACACTCGTCTACGGTTCGATGCCATTCGATGGACGGGATTTCAACCGGATGGTCCGACAAATCAAGCGCGGCGCTTACTACGAACCGGACACTCCATCAAGTCAGTTATTGGCCTGTTTAGTCAACCGCCATTTCTCAAGAAAAGAGTTTGAGACAATACTCTTCGGGGAACCTCCCAAAACTCTTCCATTTGCAAATAGGAGTGCTGAGATATAAAAACGCCTCTTGTCTATATATCATCCATATCTCGCAGTTGGACAAGGCGTCTCATGACGAATGAGCTATGGGGCCTGGGTAAGTCACCAGACTAATCAGCTGTTCCTAGAGGTCTTCAATCTCGAGTACTGAGTAGCCCTTTCCTAATCGTCTCAGAGGGTGGGGGGGGTTGAGTTATATTGAGGTGCAATCCAAAAATATTCAGTCAACGTACCAGTGCTAACAATTCGATCACTCTTGCTCTCATTGGAACCGCGACATACGAAGGATATTTCCAACATTGGGTCCTGAGTCCTGACCCCAGGTGGGACTCGAACACGCATCTCATGCTTACCGGCATGTTTGCTACCCGTTACCCGCTAGTGCTGCTCCCTAGGCTCTGAGCTTTTATGCGGTAGCCTCGCAGCGCTCACACCTTCAAAAGCATGAGCAGGTCGGCCGCATAGGGAGATACCGGTGTGAGCCGCGAGACTGAATGATTCACAATTTTGAAGTTGTTTTTTATTGCGTTAACTGCGAGCCGTGGCGTTGAACACAGGGCAGAGCAACGTGATATATGAAACGACGGCGTCAGTGCGCCCCCCCCCCTCCCTCATGGAGGATCCCGTAGAGAACTCCTTCCAGCTGTTATTCTTGGTTTTAATGAAAAGGACTAGATACGGAACGATCTGCAGGCGCTAGCAGCCATGTTGTAATAGCGCAAATTAGCGCTGGGGCAGACTTTTGATAGGGTGCGGAGCTTTTGGGGGAGGGAAGGCGGCATGTCAAAGCGGTCATTCTCCGTCATTTCCCATCACCAGTAATCTGAATCTTTCCGTGTTCGAGAAATATTCTGGATGGATGGTAGGTGGGTTGATTATGGATTGCAAGTTTTTATGTTTTATGCGACAAAAACTTCCTTCGGGCGCAATCTTTCCGAAACCAAAATTCATTTCACAAAGCCCAATATTTCCTCTTTCCAAGAAGTGCTACAGTTTTCCTGAAAACTCGCAGATATTTTAGATGGGTTTTTGATGAGCGAAATGCTGAGATGTTCAAAAACTCGACTCCTTCTGGGCCATTCTAAGAACATTCATTCCAATATTTCAATACGTCTTCAAATACAAACCCCCGTTGGAGTGAGTGGAAGCATAGATTGACTATCACTGATCGATTTTCTTAGTGTACGCCTTGCATTACACTCCCACGTGAGAAAGTGTAAGGTCTAGAGCTAAGAGATTTTGTCCATGCAAACAAATGTTTTCATAAGGTTCGGAAAGGAGGAAAAGGAACCTGTGTGTGTTGTATCATTCGGTAACCACGTGCTTACAGTTTATGCTAGCTATGAGTATTGTTGGTTAATTATTTTGATAATTCGTAGCCATCCACATATACAGCCTGCTGGTTTCCTCCTCCACATAAGCTTTAGCGATGAACCTGTTTGCGCTACTCATCGACACTGCGTCCTGCACTGCCCTCCGGCCAGTTGGACCGTCAGTGGTTTCGAACAACGATGCTGCACGCCTGATTGAGCAGCTATTTATCATGAAGCAAGCTCTGTTCAAAAATTCTTCAGGGCCCGTGTTGAACTTTCCCCTTATCTTCGAGCTGACGAGAAACCGAGTTCTCTGTCCAATCAAACAGTTTTGGAGGGCCTGAGAAAAAAACGACCGTTAGCTTATACTCGTCGGTACTTTTGCAAAAGCCCTACACGGTGACGGTTTCAGCAGCATCGATGCTGATCCGCAACATGCTGCGAGTGAATCCGGAACGTCGGTGCTCTGACATTCTTCGACCATCGGCTAGCCATTGTGGTTGAATGTCAGAGTAGCATATGCCTTGTCAATCTCAAGGGAGCTGCCCGAAAATCAGGTGCCTTTCATGTTCGGCTACCAAATGGTTTCTTTCAAACACAGATTTTTTTGAGATATACTAGCAATAATTCTGTTCAGATAACCGACCTTACTCCACTGACGGAAAGAGCCGAGACCATGGTTGTCCAGGTTGGTGTTGTATCCACGAAAATTTCACAAATGAGTGGGCTCGCCACTATGAACAAGTTTTTGGGCCCAGAGTGAGGAGGGTGATACAGGGGATTCTGTAGATTACCGTCAACTTGGCCTTTATTTAAGGAGTTCTTCAAATTGTATGCAGAGCGATAACAAGTTTTCGTCTGGTAAGGCCACTGCAGTATTCGAAAATAAGCAAAAGGTAAGGTAAGGAAGGTGGTGGAAGGGGGAAGGGTGAGGAGGGGGAGCAGAAACGATAGTTCCATGGGAATTAGGATTCTAGCTCAATTCAGGAAAGCAACTCCCGCTAAGAAGCAACACGATGTAATTGGCTCGAACCTTACCGGAGTTTCTACATCTTAGGATTAGGTGAATGTCTTAATCCCTCCAGTTTGAAATCGTTTCTTGGCACCGTTCAGTATTAAGTGCGACAAAATAAAAAAAACAGAAGCAATGGCATGGAAATAAAGCTTGTCCCGCTACTTAGCTTCACAAGGAATTCCCACGATCTACCTCGACCCTTTCACAGGAGTTAATCCAACCAGCGCCCGGTTGAAGTTCTTTTTTTCTCAAAATCAAAATCAAAATTGAATCAGTTTGCTCGTTGAGTCAGAAAGACGAGCAAGATATGCAGTGAGCCTCGAGGCAAGCGTGAAGTAATGAATGCTTCAGGATTTGGCTGACGAAACTGACGTCTTTATGGAGTTTGGTCACCTCAGCAATGAAACGCGAAAGAAGATCGAAGAATTCCGGCGACGTCGAAAGCAGGCTGAAGAGTACAACGAGAATTCTCCT